AATGTTGCATAAGTTGTTACATTATTGATGTGCAGTCTTGTTTAAAATAATAAATGAAGGAGCTAGCATGCAGTGAACCATGGAGCCAGTACTATGCAACAAACTAAAATAGTCATATGTCATTACCTAAGCAAACATGCTTATGCACACCTCAAAACATGATGACTCAAATTAGGTGTCATGCATGAGCCCTAAAATATGAAATGTGTCTAAGAGCCTCATAGATAGTTGCTTAAAATATAAGAAAAATCACAAAGGAGTGTTTTCCCTTTGATAACCACAAGATGGGATGTTGCAAAAGAGAACATGCATGAAAACAAGGTATTTAGATCATATTGATTTTGTAAATGTTATGAATCAAGATCTCTTACTCCTTTCTGTGTCTTCTTATATCTTATTAATTTATAAAGTTATTCATATACGTGAACTAAAGTGATAATATAAACTAATCAGATTAAAAGAGAAAAATAATGGTATATAGAAGAGAACAAGTGGTCTAAATTTGAAATGGAGAGGTTCAATTGATTTAATTTTGGTTGCGTATTGTAAAATGAGTCATCATAGTTTTGCCACATCACTATAAGACCATTTTAAACCACACTTATTTTCAGTTGAATATTGTTTCAAGATTGTACCCACTTGTTTCTTACTTATCCAAAATAGAAAGTGGACTCGTTTTGCAATATGTAAGCCTCATTTGAAAACAAGTTATTTTAGTAATTTTTTATTTTTTTACAAAAAGATATACAGAAAAATAGAAAGAATGATGTGATAATTTATAGTGACTTTTTAACTTTTTAATTAAAATAGTTACTTCCCAAACGAAGCCGCAGTCATGATTTATTCGAATAGATCTCTTTATGTTCTTTATGATACTATTCTCTTTCGAATTGAACCACCCTTCCCTAATTCTCAATAATACAAATTGTTTTCTACAATTATATACACAAATAGAGAACATCAATTTGTTGTGGATTTCTATGCAAAAATGATATATATATATATATATATATGCAATTTAAGTGACTTCTTCATTCATTCATTAAAAGGACAAATAAGAAAATGAATCATTGTGGAATAACTCCCAAATGTCAAAAATTGCTGTAGTTTTTTAGATGTCAACCCTCTCTCGACGGTTACAATTTTGAGTTTATAGATATACTCGTATTTGATGAGATGAGATTATCAATCATCTCCCAATTACTCAAGTTTTTTATATAGATTGATTTTATGAGATGAGGGTACTCTATCACAGTACTTCTATGTTCCTCCCTCAACATAATCCAAGAGCTCATTTATTAATATAATTAGAAGTGTCAATGGGTGAGAGTGACATTTGTTTTTTTCCTTTTCAAATGAATTATTGTCATATTGTCTCTAGGATTTCATTAGATTTTCATTACATACACATTCCATGTGCATACCTACTAAGTAGATAATTAAGCAATTACTTTTTTTTTTTTTTTTTCCTTGGCTATTAAAAAAAATGTGTATCAATTAATGTATGTATGTATATGCCAACTTCACAAGATAGTTCATTAGAGAACAAAACTATTGGCCTTAAGACCTACAATATTTTAGGTCACGTTTGTTTAGGATTAGGTTAGATGAAATTATGAGTGTGATAGGATTGAACGAAGAAATTAATAATGTAGTGGTATTAAGTTGAAAATATAACATAAAATGTGTTTAGTTGTGTAATAGTGTGGTGGTATTAATTGATTGGGATTAAACATGTGAAATTAAATAATTACCCTTCTTTCATTGTAAAATCATTAAAACTAAGAGACAAAATGATCTTTTTACTATCAATCCCATAGGATTGATTCTCAATCCCACCTCTCACTCATCTTTGCTAATTCACTCATCGTGGTGGACTACTACTCCCATTAGAGTGGTAATTCCCTTACGATTTTCTAACCAAACATATTATGAGTGGGGCCACCTCACTCATAGTCAAATAAACATGCGACAACTGACGGAAGTGAGTTTGGGGTTGATTTTTTCAATAAATTTTTATTTTATTTTTTTGATGTTTTTAAAATTCAAGAAATGTATATTAGAAATAGCTAAAAATAATATATTTGATTTTAAAATTTCAAAAACAATTTTCAGAGTTTTTAATCCGTATTTTTTTTTTTTTGTGATCTTTTTAACATTTTAATCAAAAAAAAATTTCCACTTTTTCGATTCACTTAGTCTAGATACACTTAAAAAATAAAGAATTCGTACAAAAATCTTTAAAAATTCATTGAATTCACAAAATGTGAAAATTCATTATATTTTTGTAATTTTTGTATTCAATGAATTTTTAAAAGATTTTTATACAAATTTATACTTTTTAAGTGTATCTAAATTATGTAAATCTTTAAAAAAAAAAAATTGAAAAAAAAAGTGATTAAAAAGTTCTAAAAATTTACTAAAAATAAAAAAATAAGAATTGGAACTGTTGAAACTATTTTTAAAAATTCCAAATCAAGATATGAATACAAAAAATTGATTTGACATTTGACTGTTTAACTTATTATAAATAATTAATAAATTTTTAATTTTTAACAAAAGTGGACTTCTTTTTTTTTTTTTTTTTTAAGGTTCACAACAAAAACTAAATATACCTTCAATCTTTTTTTTCTTTCTTTTTTAATATATTTAATGTTAACGATTTTTTTTTTTTTTAACAACAAAAGTTAAATATACCTTCAATCTTTTTTCTTTCTTTTTTAATATATTTAATGTTAACAACTTTTTTTTTTTTTTTTTAAAAGGTTTTTTAAATTCTTTTGTTTGTTTAAGTTATATTTATGTTAGGTTTGTCTAAAAATTAAAAAAAATTGCTCAAAATATTAAAAAAATTCAGTAAAAACAAAAAAACACGAAAAATAAGAAAGTAAAATTTTCTGAACCAACTGATCCAGCTTGAGGTTGTCAACATCTTGAGCCTCCTCAATAGCCGTAACTTTTGGTTGGAACCGATCGGGCAAGGATCTCAAAATTTTTCCCACAACTTTGGATTCTGGAAATTTTTCACCTAAATTGAAAAGAGAAGAGGGAGGTAGGTCGTTGGACTGCAACGGTGCTCGTGTGATGGAATGGAGGGAGGTTGTCGGGATACGGCCACACTGCCCTGCGATCTCTCTCTCTCTCTCTCAATTGGAAAATAGGACCAAATATGGAAAATAGGATCAACAAGTAACAAACTTCCCCACTGATAGGACTTATCCGAACAAAAGAATAAAGTTGGGACTAATTGGTTTAAGAGTTTATGAAATAGGATTTATTGGTAAATTTCCCTTTTTTAATATTTTATAAAAATATATATAAAAAAATAGAAAAAATGATATGATAATTTATAATATTTTTTTAATTTTTTAACTAAAATATTTAGTCTCCAAATAAGATTTAAGTCTATTAAAACAGCTTTATTTTTATACATAGGTACAACTTTATTTTTATTGGGACACAATAGTTAAAAAATAAGGCATCACACAATTTATAACAATTGAAATAAACAAAAATAAAATCAAAATGATTCAACACGTGATTTTCGTGATTCAAGAAAATTCTATTTCTACAAGATGAATTGTCTCATTATGAAAAATAAACAGCCCAATTAGATTTTGAACACTCAAATCTAATGTCTCGTTGACATGCGTTTATTTTACCTTAAAAGTTAAGAGATTACTAAAAAATTTAAAAAGTTTACACCTTATACAAAAAAAAAAATTAATGATTTTTTTTTTCTGTTTACTTTTTACATATCTTTTCGTAAAAAATTAAAAAGTCATTTCAAACATATTAATTTTTTTTATTTTATATTTTAACCAAAAAATTAAAAAATTATTAAAATAACTTATTTCAAACGAAATCTAAACCTTATACAAAAACCACTCTCATTTAAGTTTTTGGGTGAACGCTTGCTCCTCATACATTTTTAATTGACTCAAACTTCTTCAGAAATACTTTCATACTAAGAGCATCTCCAATGGTGAATCAGATTTTTCATCAAATTTGAGTAAAAAATGACTCATTTCACCAAATCTGGTACCAGATGCTCCAACGGTTCACCTTTCACCAAATTTGTCCCAGAACAACCGGGTGGTTGACCGGCCGGTGAGTGAAAATTTTTTTTTTTGAATTGTCTGAACCGTTTTTGTTGAACTTTCTGAACTTTTTCCGAGACGACCGGGTGGTCGACCGGCCGGTTGACCGGTTAGGGAATTTTTTTTTGAACTGTTTGAACTTTTTTTTGAACTGTTTGAATCTTTTACTGGTTGACCGGTTGGTCAACCGGCTGGTCGACCGGTTGGTATCACCCCAACGGTCAGTAACAGTGATTTGGTGAAATGCTTCGCCTGTTCTCAGTTTGATGAAATGTTTGGTGAAATCTCATTTTGATATCGATTTGGTGCAACCGTTGGAGCATCAAACAGTAATTTTTTTACCAAATTTTAAATTTGATGCTGGGTTTGATGAACCGTTGGAGATGGTATAACATAACAATAATAGGTAAAATAACCAAATACAGTGAATGTAAAACACCAAATTACATCAACATGAATTGCATAATTCTCCAAAAGCTTCACCAAAATATCATTAGAACATGAAGCAACCAGTTGGAATTCCAACCAAACACATTGGGAATTTTAACTATCTAAACAAATTCCACCTTGGCGTGAATTCCATGCATAAGTTACCAAGCTTCCTTACCAGAGCCTTTTTTTTTTCCCATAAAATTGGCCATTTACATCAGCTTATTAATACTCATGCCAATTATACTATCAAAAATGCTTGGGACCTCCAAAGTTGGGAACCTCTATGACTCCCAAAATGATGTGAATTAATTATGTATTTTTTTTTTTCTTTCTAAACCAATCATAAGTAAATAGAGATTATAAAATTGTGTTTTTGAAGGAGTCTATAGTACTGTTGTTATAATCTAATAGAAAGAAAATGATATAATCATAGAAAGGATAGAACACCACAGCCAAAATCAACCAATGTTTCAAAAAAAATACCCAGCAATAAGCTGATTTGATTAAATATGACTTGGAGTAGTCACATCAGCTTGAACATAAAGCAGAACTAAGGCTCGCCAATCTCTTTTTACAAAACCAAAAAATGCTCAAAAATGGAGAGTTCACCCTTGGATTGGCTTGACCTTTATACTGTGTTTGGTTAAAAGATTTGAATAAAAATTTAGAAAGAGAAATGAAAAAAATTGATAAAATATAAATAAAATATACTTACATTTCATCTAATTTCACACATTTTTTTTTCTTTTCAAATCTCTCAGTAAATTTTCTAACCAAACACAGCATTAAGCTGACGATACACAAGATAGGGCCACCACTGTACCACCCATTTCACCACTGCCCTCCTCTGCCACCTGCTTCCAACAATGCATCACAGATTTAGGAGTAGAAGGATTCACTGTGCACCCCTTCTCCTTGGCAACAAAGCTTCGATACACTATGCACCCTCCACGTGGCAAGTCTTTCTTCATGCCAATTTCACACGTGTACCCCTTCACATCACCAACAGCCCACTCCCAACTTGCCAAATCACCATGGCACGTGACAACCACAGTGAACTGAGCTGGGTTGAAGCATTTTAGGACCCTCTTGACCAGGGGCCCAAACCGAATTGACCCAAAGTCGAACCCCATAGCCTCATAGCTAGCATAACTGAATCCATCCTCTGGAGTCACGTGCACTGTAGAATAAGCTGAACCCTCAATCCCATTCATCGAATACCCACAAGGTTCAAACTCGAAGTCACAAATCACCTGACTGGGAATTATGTTTGATATTCCGGACTCTTTGGTCATTTTACACTGCGAGTTTTTGTAAAATATAACAGCTTTGTTTCTATCCAATCCTGTCATGCATATCTCCAGATTAATCAAAGTCGTTTGATCTTTAACCAAAGGTGATTTTTGTAGGCCCACAGACGCCACATAAATGTGCCATTGACGATCTTGGACCGTCGGATCACCAAGTGCAAATGCATTTCCATTTTCGAAGAAACGGTTCAAGAAAGCAACTTCTTCTGAGAAGCTGCGGTGAGGGGCAGGTTGGGAATTTTGAAAAATAAATGTTCCACGAGAGTATTTGACTGAGTCAACACAGAGTGAGAGTGACTCAGCGAGTTTGAGGATTTGTGGTATGGATAGGAGGAGCTTGGTCGTCCCACAGGTCTTGAGAATAATCTTCATAGGGTAAACGAAAAGGCTCGACTCGGAGAGAACATACGAGTCAAACTCAGTGTTAGAGAGCTGAGCCACAATAGTACAACAAGCGGGTTCAAGGATCGAATCTAGTTGGGACCGAGTCAAGGCTCGGAAGCCCAAACCCTGTTGGTCAGCGAACATGGGTTGCTCAGAAAAGGTTATTTCAAGGCGTTTTTCGAAGCCCTCGAACCCAATTGATGAAACAGCCATTGCTGAGTCACTGAAATGGATCAAAGAAGACACAAAGAAAACCAAAAACAGAGTCCAAAAGAGAAATGAGACACCAAAGGTACTCTGTCTCTATCACAATTTTTCAAGAACAGCTGAAGGGAAAAATTGGGAAAATCCTAATCTACAGAAAATGCCATTTGTATTCTGAGAAAGTATCAGGATGGTTTCCTCACACACTGCAAAAATTGAAACACAAACACAAATATCAGAATATAAAATACACAGACATGTATACATATAAATGTACGCTATTGATTAGATGATTCTTACATTGGAGTATGGGATGAACATCTTCAATTCTGTATCTGAGTGGAGCTTCTTCGTATTGAAGAGGGCTTCCACGAAAACTAACACTACTACATTTGTTTTGACCACCTTTGATCTCCATCACAACATCAACCCACTCTGCAACATGACACAAATATTGAAATTCAATTCAATAAATTATGATAAGACCCAAAAAACATCAACACTATAATCAAAATTTAAATATATATATTTATGTCTACTACCCAATAATCCTAGAAGAAAGTTCTCTTTGTTGGTTCTCATATTTTTTAAATGAAAACAAAAAATTTGTGTGATGTGTGTGCATATGTATCTTGGAGGAAAAACCCAAAACTTACATTTAATATTACAAGAGAGAGAGAGGCCTAGAAGCTCTTCTTAGAACAAGAAATTGCAAGAAAAGCAAGAAGAGAGAGAAACAAGACAGATGTGAAATTTGAAGAGAGAGAAGGCCCCTCCAGGAATCTTGTGGGAGTGCAAGAAGAGAGTGGAGAAAGAGTATATATATAGATGGATCATGGAATCGCGACGCATGGGACTATGGCAAGCGTGCTTGATAAAATTATAATAAAAAATATGAGCAATACGATACTACCCTATATTAAAAAATTTATTTAAAAATATCAATATACACTTCCTTATGTAGGAACCTTACAATGACTAGGCAAATCTCCATCACAATTCACTTTCTTCTTACAATTTTAGACAATCTTTCCAGGCGTATAGAATTATTAAAAAAAAAAAATCTTACCTATAATCATCATATACAAATGAGTGGAAAAAGACTAGTCATGAATTATTTTAGTTTATGGAAGAAGACTACTCATATAGGGATAACAGAAAAAGGTTAAAAACTTAAAAATTTATACTAAATTTGAATAAGAAAATTAATGTGTAGCTTAAATCTAAATGTTATATAGTGGGATCCTGCATAATGTTGTGTTTGGTTGGGGGATTTGGAAAGGAATTTGAAAAGTGAAAAGGAAAAGATGTGTGAAACTATGTGAAACATAAACATGTTTTATTCACATTTCACCTACTTTTTCTATTTTCCTTTCCAAATCCCTCTCAAAATCCTTCAACCAAACACAACATAAAAGAAACCTCCTTGTCATCCTTTCATCAAAATCAACACTGACGGACGGATGTGCTCTTGGCCAATCTGGGAGAGCTAGTATTGCCGGTGTCTTCCAAAACCATGAAGGAAATTGGCTTTTGGGTTTTGCTCAATTAGCTTTTCTGATGTTCACAATATAACTTGAAAGAGCATTTGAACTCAGTGGGTTCATTGTGAATCCAATTTTAGTGATACAAATCATTTACTTTTTAGTATTTGTTGAGAAAATATTTATGTGCAAAATCAAGATTATTGGATTTTTACATTTACCTTAAAAAAATAGAAGACAAATATAATTTCAAAAATAACCGTCTATTTTTTAAAGACAAATGTGATTCAAACATATAATTACTGAAATCCAATCATCTTGATTTTTTTACATAAATATTCTTCTCAATGAATTCTAAACAGTGAACAGTTTAGATCATCGAGATCGAGCTTACAATGGGCAAATTATAAATACACCCCTTGAGGTTTGCTTAAAATACGAATTGTCCCTTATGGTTTGGAAAATTATACAGACCTCCCTGTCAAAATTTTTTATTTAACAGAATTAATTGAAAAAGTAAAATTTCTAACTCTTCACTTATACAATAATAAAATTATTTGAATTATTAATTGAAATAAAATTTTAACATTATTTAAAAAAATTTAATTAATTTGATGATTTATTATTAGAAATTATCTATTTGTTATGAAATTGAAAACCTTAGGAAGCATAATGTAATTTCTAGAATCACATGGAATAATTTGTAATTTAAGTAAATCTCATGAGGTATGTTTATAATTTACCCACTTACAATGGGCCCAGTCTAAATATTCTCTCAAGTTGGATCCCCAATATCAGAAAAGCCAAATCCACCGAATTACGAACTATCCAAACAGCTCTTCTTCTCACTTGGACAAATGGATTTCGATTCATTGAACTAGAGATCGACTCTCTAAACTGTTTTTTTATTATTATCCACAAATCAAAGCATTTCACCATGTATTCTACTTCCTGTCTTTGATTCTATGTCTCTTCTTAAGCGTGATTGAACTATATCTCATGTATACCTAGCAAGACGCAAATACTATTGCAAACAAATTAGCTAAAAGTCATTATTTTTGCACAAAAATGATCCATTGTAATATATTCTCAACCTCCTTGTTTTGTTAAATATTTTGTATCTACCGACTACATTGGAATGACTATCCCACGTTGTGGTGTTTTGAAAAGTTGGTAAAAAAATGACTTTTTAACTTTTTAGGTTTTTTGATAGTTTTTTTTGGCAAAAAAGTTGGCTTCTTTGGCCAAAGTGTTGTGTAGCCAACTAAATAATATTTGATCTATAAAATTTGCCTCTTTATTAAAAAAAAATAAATAAATTGTAGATTGTAGCCTTTTAGTGTGGTTTTTTTTATATATATATATATATATATTTTTTTTGAAAAGTATTTTGTACCATTAATTCTACACCACTAACAAATCACTAATGACGTGACGGACGTGAATCTTTTAATTTCACATTACTAATAGATCACTAATGACGTGACGGATATAGATCCCATCATTAATCTACATCTACTTTTTGAATACTTGTCACCAAAATTGTTTGAAAGTCGCATTTTATAATCAAATCTCATTTCAATGAACAATTTTTCTTTTTAAAAGGACTAATATCAGCGTAGTCACATTATCATTCTATAATTTCTGTATTTTTATGTCATTGTTTAATCAGAACAGTGTCAGTACTAATAATAGTAGATTTCGTCTCTATATAAGGCATGGCAAGGGGAAATATTAAATCAGAGGTCTTAAAAAAATAATTAGACAATAACGTTAAAATTATAATTTTTTTTAATTTATCTATAATTATTATCTAAAAAGTCCACTCACATGCAATTTCCCCGCATGGCAACACTATGGCGTCCTACCCTGAAAACAGGGGCACGTGTTTTGTTTTATGAGAGCAGCTAGGTGACTGACTGCCCAATCACACAGATGGTGAGTGCTTTCTCAGCTATTTTAATTTGAAACTAAAAGTTATTTCCCCGCATGGCAACACTATGGCGTCCTACCCGGAAAACAAGGGCACGTGTTTTGTTTTATGAGAGCAGCTAGGTGACTGACTGCCCAATCACACAGATGGTGAGTGCTTTTTCGGTTATTTTAATTTGGAACTAAACCTCTTGTCTAGGATGAATTTTTTTAATTTTTTTTGTAAAAAAAAAAAATGTAATGTAATGTAATGATTATAGATTTGATGTGACATTTTATCTTATTAAATTTAAAAAATTTATTTTGTCTTTCTGTGACTAAAATAACCCAAACTCAACCCAACCAAAATTGTCAAACAAAGGCCAAAAAGGTTTTCTAAATGGGTTATTTGCTAGAGACTCACAATAATTTAGGTTTCATTTGGCAACATCACTTTTAGCTTAAAAATTAAAAAGTTATTAAAAAAATTAAAAAGCCAACAATTTATACAAAAAAGTTAAAAATTTTCTTTTCTCTTTACTTTTTGCACATATTTTCGTAAAAAATAAAAAAATATCCTAAACATATTAGTTTTTTTTAATCATATTTTAGTCAAAAAAATTAAAAAGTTACTGAAAAGACTTGTTCCCAAACGAGACCTTACTAAAATTTTTATCAAATCTCTCACATGTATATAGGATCCACACACTTGTGAGTTTATGTGGGTCCCACACCCATGTAAAAAGTTTGGTAAAAAATTTGATAAATCATTTAGGATTCATAACATTTTCGTTTTTAAATAATTTCACACAATCCATATATATGTCATTTTTTTTATTAGAGTCTTTCAGTTTAAATTAAATTGAACAGTATTATCGGATCTTTGTGGTCCTATTACATAATTCACATTGATGATTTAAATTGTTAAATTTGTAAAACTCATCAATTACTTTATCTCTATAAAAAAAATCAAGTTGATGAAATATCAATAGCTACTTGATCAGATTTCACTTGTATCAATAACCGCCTAATCAAATCTCATTTATGTCAACGGTAAGTATGATTTTTAAAATAAATTGTTAACACAAATATGAGCTGATCAAATGACTATCGATATTCGATCAACACGACATTTTATAGGGATAAAATATTGGACAAGTCCCACATATTGAATGGTTCGAATCATTGATGCGAGCTCTGTGATGGGCCTATGAAGGCTGAACAACACCCCTCGTTATGAAACCCAACTAAAATGAATCCTTCCCTTTTTTATTATTACTAGTGGGTTGGGCACATGTGTTACACGTGACACGTGATTTTTCATCAACTATTAGTACTATAATTATATGTATCCCTTAAATTGATATGTGATATGTATACAAAGTATGAAGACTTATATAGGTAAATTAATCTATATCCAAAATACAATTAAGCAAGACATGAATGCATACTTGGCTGAAAATTTTAAACAATAAATGAAAATTTTTATAAACATAAATATTAATTTATAATTAGATTGTTGAGATCACAATCAATATCCAAAATACAATTAAGCAAGACATGAATGCATACTTGGCTGAAAATTTTAAATAATAAATGAAAATTTTTATAAACATAAATATTAATTTATAACTAAATTGTTGAGATCACAATCTATCTTAAATAATAAACAATAAATAAATAAAAAAGGTCTTTTAAATATGTAGTGTTACACAAATATTTTTCTATCAACTTCCCACGTCAATTTTTTATAATTCGTGCCTGTAATACAATTAAATGTATGAAATTAATTGCACAATTACACAATTTTATTTAATAGTTCATCTCATAATACAAATTCATTTAAGCCACTATTGCATATTATTTGCATATTATTGACTTAAGAATGTATTAATATCAATACGTAATATATTCGTATACATCAAGAGTTGTTGAGTCTCGTTTCATGTGCCATGAATATCTTGCATGATGAAAAATATATTAATCATTAGTATATTTTCATTTATGTAGAAAATGTGGAATAGTTTTTTTAAGAAAATGGAATGATATCGTACCTTAATATTTTGATCAATAAGAATTTTATAATTGTTTTCACGATATTTATAGTTTCATACTTATAAGTGTTTGTAGGGTATTTTCATGAAACTATCAAATTACATAATTTATTATGTCATTTGTTAGTAATCAGCATATAACAAAAATTAATCGAAACTTTTTATTTGATATACTTACTTTCTACATCATTGAGTTGTTGCGATAATATTTAGGCATTATTTGATTTTTTTCTTATAATTTGACTAAAATGTGTATATGAGATACATTATTTTTCTTGAATTTCACAACATATAGGACAATTCATATTTCAGCTTGTCTAACCTTGATGGAAAAGCATGTT